CTTTTGTTGTATTTTAACAATAATGTTTGAATAAGTTGCGTTTCCGTTAATATCGAGTAGTTTGACCAATTAAATTACATCTGAAACACAGCACCTCACACTTACTTTTGAAGTCAGAAAAAGTGAGGATCTAGGTTGCCTTCTTAATATATTTTGAGGCGGTCTTCTCTGGTCCATAACAAATCGGAGGCTCTTGTTGGGATCAAAATCTCTCATTGTAGTTTGGGTTTAGAATTATTGGACTCAAAGGCAGTGATTGGTAAGAGTTAGTGTCTTTTGCCTCGGGTGTAGAATTCAGTTGATTTATACAGAGTGTGCCTTGTGTGGTAATGGCTCTTTCAGTCAGTAAGAATTTCCTGGGGGAGTTTTACAGAGTGAGCAAGGCAAGGCTTTCAGAATTGGCAAACAAGCTGGACTTGAGGTTTCCTGTGTCTGCGAGGAAAGGGGAAATAAATTCGTTGAGTAATACAGCATGGAAACGGGCCCTTCAGCCCAATCTGGTCCATGCTGATCATGGTGCCCACTCAGCTACTTCCAATTGCCCTCATTTGGTCCATATCCCTCTAAACCCTTCCCATTCATGTATCTATCCAAATGCTTTTTAAATGTTGCTATTGTACCTGCCTCAACCACTTTCTCCAGCAGCCCATTCTATATACACACCACTTTCTGCATGAAGAAGTTGCCCCTCAGGTCCTTCTTAAATCTTTCCCCCCTCACCTTAAACCTATGCCCTCCAGTTTTCAATTCCCCATCCCTGGGAAAAAGACTATATGCATTCATCCTATTTATGCCCCTCATGATTTTATGCACCTAAATACAGTTACCCTTCATTCTCCTGCATTCCAAGGAATAAAGTCCTATCCTGGCCAACCTCTTCCCTATAACTCAGGCCTAGTAGTCCTTGCAACATGCTCTTAAATCTTCTTTGCACACTTTCCAGTTTAACTATGTCCTGCCTATAACAGGGTGACCAAAACTGCACACAATACTCCAATTGTGGCCTCACCAACGACTTTTACAACTGTAACATAACATCCCAACTCCTATACTAAAGTTTTTACAATTGGACAGCATTTACAATTGTCAGGAATACCATCAGAATCTTTGGCAATGGCAACAATTCAATTGCAAATGTAGCAGCTTGAATTAGAGGCAATGGCAAGGGAAAAAGAAAAGGACAGAACTGCCCTGGTGGAACAAAAAGAAAGAGAAAAGGAAATTAAACAGTTTGAATTATGATTAAAAGCAGAGGAAAAGCAGAAAGAGGGAGAAGAAAGTGAGAGAGGGAGAAGAAAGGGAGAAAGAGAGAAGAGAAAGTGAGACAGAGAAGAAAGGGAGAAAGAGAGAAAAGAAAGGGAGAGAGAGAAGAAAGGGCAAAAGAGAAAGAGTTTGAACTTCAGAAGTTGGCAATTAGAGACGAAAGTCGACTTAAAGGGCAGAGACAGAGGTAGAAAGTAGGCTTAATGAAGAGGATAGTGATGTTGTGCAAACCCATCGCAGCCAAAGACCTGGTGGGGATCTGTTTAAATATGTCCAAGCATTGCCTAAATTTGACAAGAAGGACGTAGAAGCCTTTTTCATTTCATTTGAGAAAGTGGCCAACCAAATGAAGTGGCTGGTGATCATGTGGATATTGTCGATCCGAACAAAGTTGGTAGGTAGAGCTAGTGAGATATTTGCATCACTATCAGAAGAGATATCTGGGGAGTATGAGGAGGTGAAGAAAGCCCTCTTAAGTGCATATGAGCTAGTGCCAGAAGCCTACAGAAAACATTTTAGGAATCGAAGAAGGGACCCTGGTCAAACATACATTGAGTTTGTAAGGACGAAACAAAGTAATTTTGATAGGTGGATAAGGGCATTGAAAGTAGACCAAACATATGAAGCTCTTAGACCATTATTTTGGAAGAGTTCAAAAATTCACTTCCTGAAGTAGTGAGAACTTATGTGAAAGAGCAGAGAGTTAAAATTGCAAGATTAGCAGCTGAAATGGCTGATGGCTATGAGTTGGTTCATAAATCAAAGTTTGGCTTCTGACATCAATTTTAATCTGAGTGGGATAGAAATTGTGGAAAAGAGAAATCCTCAGGTGGTAGGGGAGAAAGAGATCTCACTGAAGATAGTGAAGAGTTTACCACAGGGTTAAAAGGAAACCCATGAGGGGGAAAGAGAAATAAAAATAGCTCAGGTGTTTTCACTGTAACAAAGTAGGCCACATGAAGCCGCAGTGCTGGTGGTTTAGAAATAGCGCTGGGAAGACGGATGTGGGAAAACAGGATAAGCCAGTGAGTTCTGTTGATGTGGTAAAGGAAAACATAGCGTAAGCTAAAACACTGCGTCAGAATGTACAACCTGGTCAGGGGTTGGTTAAGGAGAAAGTGCCAGGTCTCTTTAAAGAATTTACTTGCGAGGGTGAGGTTTACTCATGTATACTAGGAGGAGCAGGTAAAGAAATTAATATTTTAAGAGATATGGGAGAATGTCAATCTTTGATGGTGAGAGATGAGGAGATATGTAATTCAGAAGGAATGTTGTCAGAAAAGGTGATAATATGTAGAATTTATAGTGAGAAGTGCAGTGTTCCATTATGTAAAGTGAGGTTGGAGTGTCTGGTGAAAAGTGGAGAAGTGGTGGCAGGAGTATTGGAGAAACTCTCTGCTCCAGGAATACAATTTGTCCTTGGTAATGATATGACTGGTTCACAGGTGGGAGTGCTGCCTACTGTGGTTGAAAAGCCAGTGGAAAATCAGGCAAGTGAGGTGTTATAGGAAGTATATTCTGGGATTTTTCCTGACTGTGTGATAAAGTCACATGGTCACAAAGTCACAGGTTGAAGCAGGAGGAGAAATCAAGGAATCAAGATAAGGAAGTTGAAGTACAATTATCAGTGACCATATTTGATCACATTTTTGAGGAAAAAAACAAAAATATGTGGAGGCCAAAGTGGATTTTTTTTGTTCAGAGCAATTAACTGAGTTACAACAGAAAGATGAAAAACTAAAGCAATTGTATCAAAAAGCATACACAGAAGAAAAATCTGAGCACATCCCAGAATGTTATTGTCTTAAAAGTGAAGTCTTGATGAGGAAACGGAGACCATCACATATTCAGGTGGATAGGAAATGGGCAGAAATTCATCCAGTTGTATTACCGGTGGGTTATAGAAAGGAGGTGTTGTGGGTAGCACATGATTATCAGTAGGAGGTCATTTGGGAGTAAGGAAAACTCAACCCAAAATACAAAAACATTTTTACTGGTCTGGACTGCACAAAGATGGAGTTGAATTTTACCAGGCATGTCATACATGTCAAGTAATTGGAAAACATTAGGCAGTGATAAAACCAGCACACTTAATACCCATTCCTGCATTTGAGGAACCTTTTACAAGGGTCTTAATTGGTTGCGTAGGATCCCTACCTAAAACAAAAAGTGGGAGTCAGTGCTTCTTGACCATCATTGATGTGTGCACTAGATTTTTTAGGGCCATTCCATTATACAGTATCATGGCTAAGAGGATTGTAGAAGAGTTACATTTTTTTTACGAGATATGGACTACCAACAGAGATACAATCAGATCAAGGGTCAAATTTTGCATTGCAATTGTTCAAGAAAGTTACAGATAG